ATGTGCATTGTTTTCTAACATTTTATTGTGAAAAGCATCGAACATCCAGAAAGGTTGAAAGAGTCTCATGGTAAATACCCATACCCTCACCACCTGGAATCTCCAATGAACATTTGCAATATTTGCTTTATGACATTTTCGTGGCTCCATCCCTTCCTTCTGTCCGTTTGGCCATCAATGCACCTGAATCCATCCTTCCATCTATTCATCTCTCTATCCCTCCATCCATCCGTCTATTTTTTTTTTTTAAGATTTTTAAAATTTATTTATTTGACAGAGAGAGACACAGCGAGAGAGGGAACACAAGCAGGGGGAGTGGGAGAGGGAGAAGCAGGCTTCCCGCCAAGCAGGGAGCCGGACATGGGGCTCGATCCCAGGACCCGGGGATCATGACCCGAGCCGAAGGCAGACACTTAACAACTGAGCCACCCAGGCGCCCTGTCATCCGTCTATTTTTTGATGCATTTTGGAGGCTCATGAATGTGAGGTCTGGGCCAAATGACATTCTTCTCTCCTTCTTCCTGACAGTAACAGGCCCTGCTGCACACATATCCGCACACCACACACACCTCCATGTAAATCCCCCATGTGCACGCACCATGTGTGATTCATCCATGTCCCCCTTTCACACTTGTCTACTCCATACACATGTATCCACGTGTGCAAACCCCACACATGTGCAATCACCCATGCACGCACACACACACAGCGCCCACATGGGCATTTGTGGCAGACCCTTGATGTCTGTGAGGGAAGCATCCAGAGACCTTTTAGAATCCTCGGACCTGTAACCCTCATGAGTCCCTGCCAGGTCTCAGCCGACTCCCCGCCCCTCATTTCTGGCAAGTGTCAGGGCCTTCCCTGCAGCTCCCACCCTGCCATGCGCCACCTTTCCCACTTTGCTCCATCTTCTCTCTCACCTCCTAGCCACGCCCCACAGAGAGCACCTCGCACAAAGATTCCTTCCAAGTGTTACTGCCTATGTGTGCACAGCCCACCACTGTCAAACCGGGAGGGCAGGGACAGTGTTGGTCTTGTTCACGGCACAGCCCCAGCACCTGGCGCTCGGCAGGCCCCCTCCAGGTGTGGGATGAAAACGGAACAAACTTGGCACAGCAGTGCACATGCTGAGCAGCCTCGGGGGCACCCTGTCACACCCACACCCGTGCACACACAACACCCAGTGTGTTCAGCTATGCTCACACATGCATCATGCATGCATCTGCACATGTGTGAACGTGCACCGTGTGCACACACCTGTCTGTCTGTTTCCCTGTTTCCACGCTTTCCAGATGGAGTCAGTTCTGGTCCCTGGGGCCTTTCCCCAAGCCTTGGGCATCTAAGATCACTATGAGCTCATGTGCTGGGTGTGAGGGCCAGATGTGGCCCCCCGACCATGTGCTCAGGGCTCCTGGCTTGGTCCCGTGCATCTGTGTGGCAGGGATTAGGAGTACCAGCTCTGGAGTCCGACAAAATCTATGTTCCGTCCTTGCTCTGCAGGTAATTGCTGTGTACATTCTACATCTGGTTTATGTGTGCATTGCTTAACTTCTTGGAGCATCAGTTTCCCTATCTGCTAAATGGGGAGAATAGTTTCCACCTTAAAAGCATCTTACAGGAGATGCTCTTAGCAGGGTGCCTGGTGTGTTGTAGGCACTTAAAGATGGTTGCCGGGGGTACTATTATTATTGTCACTTCAGTCTTTTTTTTTTTTTTTAAAGATTTTATTTATTTATTTGACAGAGAGAGAGGCACAGTGAGAGAGGGAACACAAGCAGGAGGAGTGGGAGAGGGAGAAGGAGGCTTCCCGTGGAGCAGGGAGCCCGATGTGGGACTCGATCCCAGGACCCTGGGATCATGACCTGAGCCGAAGGCAGACGCTTAACCATCTGAGCCACCCAGGCGCCCTGTCACTTCAGTCTTTGCCCCGAACTCCCGTGCACCCTTTGGGAGGGAGGGCAGCCTCGGTGGGGGGCTGTGTATGGGGAGAGCAGGTGGGTGGCGCCTAGTGAACTCCTCTCCCCACGTCCTCCCCCAACCCCAAGCCCTCATTATCCCACATGCATATTCATAAGAGATAGCCTCAGCCGCACTCTGTAAATGGGTCAGAAGCAGGAAGTGGAGGCCAATGTGGAGAGCGAGGCCCCGTGGATAGGAGGCTCTAAGCCAGAGTGCGTCTGAGTTCTCATGGACGGGAGGATGGTGAGTGGAGAGGGGGCAAGACTGGCCTGGGGAACACTGGGGCCACGGGGGGCTTGAGCAGGGGATGATTGCTATTTTGAGATTTGAAAACTGAGGCCCAGTGAGATCAGATTGGAGAACCCTTGGGGTGAGTGGCCAAGAAGCCAGAGGCTGTTTCCTTTGGGATCTGGAGAGCTGAGCACCTGTCTGGGCTGGGTGGTGGGCACAGAGGGATGGACTATATGACTCTTGCATATTTCTCTCAATGGGTATAGTTTACAAGGTATGATATAGTTGTAAGAACTGCGATGATCCTGAATCTCAACCTCCAGTGAGGCTCAGAGAGGCTGGGTGACTTGCCAAGGTCACGAAGCTGCTGCCTATGATCTTGCCTCTGGAGGTGTGAGAGATGGAGTGACTCTGGTCCACGAAGGGGGTTCAAGACTGGGAGACAGGTACAAGATACAAGATACAAGATACAAGAAATGAAGCCTCCTTACCTATGTCCTCATTTCTTCTCTCAATAACCCCCTGAGATAGCTCAAGCAAAAACAATGGTCTTCATTTTGCAGATGAGAAGCATGAGGCTGAGAGAAGAGGAGTCACCAGGACAAGGCAGCCCAGTGAGTTATCCATAGCACAGTTGGCCCCTCCGTGTAGGGTGCCACGGGGGCCGCGAGGGCCGCTCACTTAGGTCTCGGGGATCTGGGGCGGGGTGGGGCCAGGACAACGGTAGGGCATCACCCTGCACTGGAAAATTGCAATCTAAAACCAGATAGGGCTGGGTACTTGCAATCCTGTTAATCCCTTCCTCCTTTCAGACAACTGCCTATTTCTTCGAATGCTTTCTCGATGTTCACAACTGCTCTGGGAGGTTAAGCAGGATAAGCATCCCCATTTCAGGGGAGGGGAGGGAGGTGAAGTGACCCCCGGGATAGCCAAGGGCGATAGAAACTCTGACAGAAGAAGAGTCTCAGCTGTGGCTTGTCTTGGTCTTAGGTGCTTTCTCCTGGATCAGGCCGTGGGTGAGGGAGAGGCTCGGGAAGGGAGAGTCAGGCCCTTGGGGCATAACTGTCAAAAGATGCTGACCCGGGGTGGGCAGCTGTGGGGAGGGTCTCCTCAGACTGCTTGGTGGCATTCCAGACACCGAGGATTGCTGGGGAGAAGAGGACTGTGAACGGGCTGTTTTGGGATCAGACCATCGGTCACAACCATGTGAGGAAACTGAGCTTGTGGTGGAAGTTAGACACGTGTTCATTCAGCAAGCACTGACCGCCTACTGTTTGCTGGGCCTGGTGCTGGGCCCGGTCAGGGGAGGGGCGGCCAGACATGACACTGGCAGTCCCTGCGTGGCTCACAGTCTCCTGAAGGTCTCGGACTAGAGAAGGACGCACCTATTCTTGCACAGAGAGAGGATATTGTCCCCTCTGCTTTCCAAGAGAGGCAGTGAGATGTCAAGGACAGGCCTTGTATTCCAAGGTCAAGGCCAGGCCAGGTGGTCTTCTAGCTCTGCCCTTCTGACCTGTGTGGTCTTGAGCAACAATAACAACAACCACAATAATCACAACCAATGTTGATTTCAGGACTCGGTTTACGGGTGGCACATCACTTTACTTAGAGCCTCAGTTTCCTGATCTGGAAACTGGGTGGAGTGGGGAATGAGTCTACTTCTTAGGGTGATAGGTCTGGGGGTAGTGGTGGTTCTCTTCACTGAGAAGATATGGGATATGAGTGAGGCTTCCAAGGGCAGAAAGGGGGGTAAGGAGAAAAAAAGGACTTTCCAGAGGGAGGGCATCATGTGGACAAAAGCGGGGAGGAGGGAAGCTCTAGGATGTGTTTGTGGAGCAGTCCTGGGCACGATTAATAGCCTGGCACTCCATGAATCACCCAAGGAGGCAGTCAGGCCGGATCTCTGGCCCCAGGGCCAGCTGTGAGGCACTTAGACTTCCTGCCCTAACATTATCTGTCTAGGGTTGAGCAAGGAGAGGGCTGGAGGGTAAACTGAGAGTAATTACAGAGCCCTGCTTCTGGGTCTCCTCCACCTACCCTTGCGGGGCGGTTGGCTGGGAATGTGACCCACCCACCTCTTCTGACCTCCTTAGCTGGGGGCCAGAGTTTGGGCATCTCTGGGGAGCAATAAGCCAGCCAGCAGGAATGGCTCAGGAGAGCGTGTGGTCCAAGACAGAAGTAGAGCTTGAAGAAGGGGTGGATGGAGGGAAGGAGGGCTGAAAGAGTGTGAGGCTGGGGTCTTAGGAGAAACAGGGATGACGAGGAGCTCACATTTTTCAGGTATCTACTATGTGTTGTAACAGCCCCATGAGGTGGGTATCTTCACTTTACAGATGGGGAAACTGAGGCTCAGAGAGGTGAAGTGACTTGCCCAAGTTTCTTTATCCGATCATGCACCATTCAACACCTATGTATTGGGTGCAGGCTCTACACCGAGGAGTTTGGGGTGACCCTCACTTGGCTTCTGCCCCTTGTGGGGGGACAGTGTTGTAAGGTCACACTGTGGCCTCCCTGGGACTCGAACCCAGGTCTCGGTATTTCCAAACCCTCGCTTTGGAACAGGACTTGAACCCGGGGCAGAGTCGGGTCGCGCTGCACGTCTCACATGGCCGCGGGAGTCCCGGGCCCCACCACTTTCCCCACCCGTCTTGCCCGTCTTGCCGGGCGCACCTGCCCAGGTGAGTCGCCGGAGGCTCCGAGCGTCGGCGGAAAGCGGCGAGAGGCTTCGGCAGGTGGGGCGGGGCGGGGGCGGGGGCGGGGCCCGACCGGGGCGGGGCGGGGGCGGGGCTAGGACCGGGCGCCCGGAGCCCCAGCGATCCCGCCGCCCGCGCCCCGCGCCCCGCGCCCGGCGCCGCGTGCCGCCGCCATGGGGGCCTGCCTGGGGGCCTGCTCCGTGCTCAGCTGCGTGAGTCCTGACCCCCGCGCCCGCCCGCGCGCCGCCGGCTCCTTCTTCGGCCCCGCACTTTTGTCCGTCTTCTTCCTCCAAATAGTTTCTTCTTTTTCCTTTCTCCAAACTTGTCTTTCTGGGCCCGCACCCCGCCACCTCGCCCCTCGGGTCCCCTCGTCCCTCGGTCCCCCCACCCCCATTCCGGACCCGCGGGCGCCGGGGACAGCTGGTGTCCGGGGCTCGGGTTACCGCGGGGGAGGGGTTGGGGCGCGCCGGGGTGGCGGGGGGAGGGGCGGGCCTTGGGCAGGCGCCCCTCTCAGGGACTGGGGAGACTGAGGCCCAGAGCCCGGGATGGGGGTGCGCGCTGCGGCCCCACCTCGCCCAACTTGGAGACGTCCTCGCCGTGCGCCTGTCGTCTCTCTCGGATATTCTGACTCTTTGTGTGGCCCGCCTGGTCCCTGCCCCACTGTGCGGTGTGTCTTTTTCTGTCCCTCCGGCAATCTGTCCGTCAGTCTGTCTCCCTGCCCGCCTGCCTCAGTTTGCCCATTTGTATTTGTTTGACATCTGTTTCTGTCCGTTCGTTTATCCCACGGTCTTTGTCCGTCCGTGGCTTCTCCATCAGTCATTGTCTGTCTCACGGGTGTCTGTCCGTCTGTCCTACCGTCCAATCTGTCTCTCTGCATCCTTGTCTCTGACTCTTTCAGACTAGCTCACACTAAGTCCTGGGCACTTCCCCCAACGAACCCCAGACCCTTCCCCTCTAGGCCCCGGAGCCTGAAATGGGGGTGGGGAGGAAGCCCCCATCCGCCTTCCTAAGCCACCCTTGAGTGAGGTCGGTTTGGGTTGCCAACCGCCACCGGGCCCCGCTCTGGGTTGGAAGACCCAGGAACTGAGGAAGGTCGGAGTGTTTTGGGCGTGGGGCAGTACCTGGTCGCCTGGGCTCGGGGGCCTGGGCTTGGGGACCTCGGGGGCAGCCATACTCTGCTCTGGGGTTGCAGCCAGCAAAGGGGAGGAGCTTCAGCCCGACCCGGCTGGGAGGCCCCTTTTCCTTTCCCTTTTCCCAGCCCCCTCTCCTTTCCCTCTTCCCCTCATTAAATCCGAGGTTCATTCAGGCAGCTCCCTCCCCCTCTGCCCTACACAAAGAGAAGCAGAGAGGAAGAGGGGGGTCTGGTGGCTGCTGAATCTCAGGACTTGCTTTCCTTTGTCCCTGATTTGTGTGTGTGTGTTAGGATGGGGTGTGGGGTGGCGAGCTTAAGGATCTAGAGATTTACTTTACAACCATTTTCTGAGAATGGTATCTGCACACAGAGGCTGTAGAGTGGGTCCCTGGACAGTCTCTTGTCCTCTCTGAGCCTCCATTTACCACCTGTGAAGTGTGTGTGTGCGTGTGTGGACACGCGCCCAGAGGAATCAAGAACTGGTCTCTGAGATCCCTTTCTGCCCCCTGCCCAGTGAATTCTAGGTTTGGGCTGGGTCTCTGGCCAAGAAGGGTTTGCTTCCTGGTAGGGGAGGGAGCGCTTCCTTGAAGTTGACTAGATTTCCATTTGGCCGGGCTGGCCTGGGAGTGGCCCGTGTTGAGAGGTGACCTGCCAATCCCCTGTGCCTCTGCCTCCCCAACTGCCACCTTCATGGTTCGTTATTTGAGGAAAATCGAAAAGTGCCCCACCTACTTCCTGGCGACAGTGAGTGGCGCTATTGTTGTTATCTTCTTGGAAAGGTGGGTGGGGAATTCCTTCTGGAGCCCAAGCCGGCCGCTGAGTCATGGAATCTTACAAATGCTGAGACCAGAAGGCACCTGAAAGGCTTGCTCAAACCCTCAACAGACTGCGGCTCAGAGAGGTTAGCCGACTTCCCAGAGGCTGCACAGAGAACGGATGGGGGCCTGGACAGTCAAGATTAAAATCTGATTCCTGGTCCAGGCTTCTGCCCACACCTTCCCTCCCTTCCCATCCCGGGTGTCTGAGGGACAGGGCTGGTCCACTTACTGAGTATTTAATGTCGGCAGGGGACCTGTCCTTCCTTTTAGTGGCCTCCCCCTGGGTTTCTGACCTCTGACATTTACTGAGCTCCTACCACAAGCCAGGCGCTGTGCTGAGCCCCTCACTGTGCTGTCTTGTTGGTTCTCCCTCGAGCCCTGTGACATGGTCATCCTGTTTCAGATAATGATACCAAGAGCAGCCCCCATCACTGCGTCCTCACTCAGGGCCCAGCGCTGTCCAGGGGTGGTACAAGCCAGCACTGCAGTGAGCACTCGCTGTGTGTCTTCTCATCCAATCCAACTAGGACCGCAGTGAGGCAGTTAACATGATTTCCATTTCACAGGTGACAAAACTGGATCAGAGAGGGAAGGTGGTCTCCCCACAGCCACACAGTATTCAGTGGTGCAGTTGGGTCTTACTGGACACCGATAACAACCTATTTCCGGGGCGCCTGGGTGGCTCAGTGGATTAAGTGTCCGACTCTTGATCTCAACTCAGGTCTTCATTTCAGGGTTGTGAGTTCAAGCCCCGCATTGGGCTCCATGCCCAGCGTGGAACCTACTTAAAAAAAAACAAACAGCAAACCCAAAACAACCTGATTCAATGGAGATTTGCTCCACAGGAGGAAAGTTCTAATAGGGGGCTCCTGGGCATCTTTGGGGGAACATTCTGGAGTCTGTGGATCCACGAAGAAGACCTCCAGCCATGACACATTTGCATCTGCCCATCATGCCTTTTGGTCGGCATTTGTATTGGACCGAGGGTGAGTCCTGGCTCAGAGGAGATAAGATGGGCCCACGATGGGATGGGAGTCACCAGGCCAGCCAGTACTTGGTGGGCTGGACGGTGAGCAAATATCTAGGGAAGCCTTGTCTAATATCTGCATGCCATTGAATCTAATTCTCTATCCTCTACATGCGAGGGAGCGTGCACGGGTCGGAGGATGGGACTCAGATCCTGGCGTGGCCTCTCCCCCGGCCTTGTGACTTCGGGCAGTCCCTTTGTCCCTCTCTCTGGGGTGGAGGGAGTAAGGAAGTGGAGAGAGCAGTGGTGTCTGTCTCTCAGCACGTTGGGAGGATTGAGTGGGACTGAGAGGAGCATGCCGACATACTTAGCACGAAGCTGACCGGCCGCGGCCATTCTAAGCACCCTGGAGTGGGAAAGTGCTCAAGACCACATTTGAGAAGGTGGTGGAGCCGGGGACACTGGGACTGTCTGTAGAGCCTGGGCTCTGAGCCACTTCACCGTCCTGCCTGGGAACCCATTTTATGGCTGAGGAAACTGAGTCCCACGGCGGGGAAAGGGACCTGTCCAAGGTCATCCTACAAGTTGGTGGCAGCACCAAGACTAGGCCCTCTCTTCTTAGCGCTGCACGGGGATGTACGCGTGCCCCGAGTAGTCTGGGGGCTGACCTCTTACCTGCTGTGCGTCCTCTAGCCCCGGGGTGTCTCGGGCTGTTCACGAAGCCTACAGGGTGCCCCCCATCCTTGCTGGGACCAGCGTTTTGTCTAATTGTGGCAAAATGTATGTCACATAAAAATGTACCATTATAGGGCGCCTGGGTGGCTCAGTCGGTTAAGCGACTGCCTTCGGCTCAGGTCGTGATCCTGGAGTCCCGGGATTGAGTCCCGCATCGGGCTCCCTGCTCTGCAGGGGGTCTGCATCTCCCTCTGACCCTCCCCCCTCTCATGTGCTCTCTCTCTCAAATAAATAAAATCTTAAAAAAAAAAATTTACCATTATAGGGGCACCTGGCTGGCTCAGTCAGTAGAGCCTGTGACTCTTGATCTCAGGGTTGTGAGTTCGAGCCCCACGCTGGGTGTAGAGATCACTTAAAAATCACATCTTGAAAAAAATTTCCATTGTAACATTTTTTTTTTTAGTTTTCAAGGAGTTTGTAGTTTATCTCATGATATATGATATATATATATCATATATAAAAAAATATATATACATTGAAAACGGTTATCTATTTTTATGATATCAAAATGATATCACCCCAAATGAACAGTAGCGTCTGAAGGGGGAAATACTGTGGGTTGAAACACAGAAGAAAAACTCCAGGCTCTGTCTTCTTTCCCTTGGAGTCTGTTCCCCTAGCTCGCTCTCCCTCTTCCCAGAGGTACGGTGCATCTCCGCCTGCATCCGTCTTGCATCTGTGGCCAAAGCGGTCTTTCGGTAATGCAGACCTGGTGCTCTGCTTCTCTTGCGGGATGCTTCTCACTGCCTTCAGGATAAAGTGCAGACTCCTTGGCGTGGCCTGCAGGGACTGTGGCCATCGCTTGCATCATCCCTCTGCCTCCTCTTGACAGCTGCCTCGAAGAGACAGTGTTTCTTGCAGCTTTGCCCGTGCTGTTCCCTTTGTAGGAACACCTTTCCCTTCGTCACCTGGCTGACTTCTTACTCTTCCTTGAAAACGGCCCCCTCCTTTTTCCTGATTGTGTTAACATCCACATAACAGAAAACTGACCATTTTAACCATTTTTAAAAAATTTTTAAGACTTTATTTATTTGTCAGAGAGAGAGAAGAGAGAGAGAGCATAAGCAGGGGGAGCTCCAGGCAGAGGGAGAGGGAGAAGCAGGCTCCCTGCTCAGCAGGGATCCCGATGTGGGACTCGATCCCACGACCCTGGGAACATGACCTGAGCTGAAGGCAGACGCTTAACCGACTGAGCCACCCAGGCGTCCCATTTTAACCATTTTTAAGCGTGCGGTTCAGTGGTGTTAACTACATTCAAGTTGTGGGGCAACCATCCCTACCATCCATCTCCAGAGCTTTTTCATCCTCCCCAAATTGAAACTCCCTACCCATTCAATAATAACTCTCCACTCCCCTCTCCCCCAGCCCCTGGGAATCCCCAGTCTACTTTCTGTCTCTGTGAGTTTGACTGCTCTAGGTTCTCATATCAGTGGAATCGAATGGCATTTGTCCTTTGGTGTCTGGTTTATTTTATTTGCTACAATGTCCCCAAGGTTCATCTGTGTTGTAGCAGGTGTCAGAATGTCCTTCCTTTTTAAGGCTCAATAATATTCCCTTGTATGTATATCCCACATTGCGTTTAGTCATTCATCAGTCTATGGACACGCGGGCTGCTTCTACTTTTTGACTATTGTGAATAATGCTGTTATAAACATGGGTGTGCAGATATCTGTTTGAGTCCTTGCTTTTGACTAATACCCAGAAGTGGAGGGTCAGTTTATTTTATTTTTATTTTTTTTAAGATTTATTTTATTTAGGGGCGCCTGGGTGGCTCAGTTGGTTAAGCGACTGCCTTCGGCTCAGGTCATGATCCTGGAGTCCCGGGATCGAGTCCCGCATCGGGTCCCTGCTAAGCAGGGGGTCTGCTTCTCCCTCTGACCCTCCCCCCTCTCATGTGCTCTCTCTCTCTCTCTCTCTCATTCTCGCTCTCTCACATAAATAAATAAATAAATAAATAAATAAATAAATAAATAAATAAATAAAAATCTTTAAAAAAAATATTTATTTGATTTGTTTGAGAGAGAGAGAGAGCACATGCACACACCAGAGGGAGAGGGAGAAGCAGACTCCCCACTGAGCAGGGAGCCCGACACAGACCCAGGATCATGACCTGAGCCGAAGGCAGACGCTTAACCAACTGAGACACCCAGGCTCCCCAAGTCAGTTTATTTTAAACAAATCAACTTGAAACTGTGGCCCCAACCCTAGCTGCCTCCCCGCCTGCCCGGTGCCCTAGGAATGGTCCTGAGAACCCACGTCCCTGGCTTTAGGGGCAACCAGGAGAGAGTGTGGATGACTGGGGACAGCCTGTTCCCACCATGCCAAACCGCACATGGTTCCAGAGCAGTCCAGCTTGCCTCAGGCGGTCGTGAGCTCCTGGTCTTTGGCAGTGTGTAAGCAGTGGAGGCTGCCTTCCGGGTGATTCTTCATTAGAGAGAGGCTGGACCAGTTGAATGCCAAGGAGCCATGCAGCCTGAAAATCGTAAGACCCAGGGCTTTCTAAGATCTGACTCCCCATTCCAAGAACCTGGCTGCGTTTTGCTGCTCAACACGCACCCAGTGGCTTGGGGCCTCTCTGTTGCTGCCGCTGGCCTGAGTGCATTTGGGGGCAGGGGTGTAATCTTAGCCCAGGAGCGATGTTATGTCTGCCTTGGCTTTTCACCTTGCGCCATTAATGTTAGCCCATGTTGCCCGGCAGCCTGGGGACTTTTTGCTTTCCTGCGCCTGTAACATTCCACGGAGTAAATGGACCACCACGGGCCCCTGGCGCAGGACTTGTAGGTTATTTGCAGTCTCTTGAGATTCTAATAAGCTCATAAAACCTAAAGCTTTGTGCCTATTTTGGTTTTTCGTTTTAATTTAAAATTTTTTCTCTTTTAGTAATAAAATCAGCTTTATCGAGGTAGAATTTATATTTAATTATACTTAGTTATGTGTACCCCTTTAAGTATTACCTACACATCTGCTGCATTCAGCGGAGATCCCTCATAGGGGAGGCCCACGATGTATGGATGGGCATTTCGTTATTTTAAGCTTCCCCCTAGTACTTTCCGGGTGTGCGCAGCGCCACACGCGTCCGCCCTTACTCCTGTGAGCTGGTACTGCTACAGGAAGAGGTTCTTGTGGGAGCGATGCCCCGGGGGTCGAGAGACTGGGTCAGAACGCACGAGAGATTCCAAGGATGCGCCAGCAGCAGCTGGTGGTGGGGGCTGCTGTGTGTTTTTCTCTCCCTGACCACCTGGTCTCTCTGGCTATCGGTCCTTGGGAATCCCGAGGTTTCCCATGTCAGGAACACTGGGCTTTTGATCTCCAAGAATTAGGGTGAACTGAAAAGCCAGGCTCCCCGAGTGCAGTGGGGTGGCTTTTCTCATGTCTCAAATGTCTCCGATTGAAGTGGTAACGAGCCAGAGGCAGGCCCTGACTCGGGCCCTTTAGCACGCGGTTCCTGAGATCAGTGCTCGAGGGCCTCTGTGGGTTTTCTCTGGCAGCCGAGGGATTGTTTCCATCCCTGGGGTGTTTTGAAATTAAGCAAGACTGCCGTCAATGAGCTAGTGGGCCCCTAGTACAGGCGGACAGGAGCTCGAACCCCAGCTCCTCAGCTTACTGGCTCTGTGACCTTGGTCATGTCACCCCTCCAAGTCATTTTCCCCGCCTGTAAGTGGGAGGTACAACACACTCCCTGCATAGGGAGTGTCATGTAGATAAGGGGCTTACCACGGTGCCTGGGGCCGAGCACCTTCCAAACGGACGCTCACTCTTACTTCTTGAATCTCAGCACTGCCGTCCACTTGCTGGGTGACTCTGGCACGTTCTTAACTTCTCTGATCTCAGGTTCCTCGTCTGTAAAATGGGGCTAATAGCTAGTCTGTCTCATAGCCAGAATGTTCTTTATGGTTTATGAAATATGTTTCTGGCATTTGCTTATCCCTTTATCCCCAAAAGGCAGCCAGGGGTAGGAGGCGGGGCTTGGGGTGAGGGCTGCAAGATGTAACCAGGAGTTGCTAGACCAGTTATGATTTGGACCATGGAAAGGAAATTCATTCTGCAGGCGTTTCATTTAGCAAACATGTTGTACTTGCTTTGTGGGTGAGAGAGATGGGTATCCAGGGGCGTTTCCACTCTTGGGAGGAAGGGAAGGGGAGACGGGAGGGCAGCTACACCTCAAGCAGAGTGTAGCTTGGGACCAGAGTGCACACCTTGGGACCAGCCCAGAAAGTCGGGTGCGAGGTCTCTGAGGAGGAAGGGGCCCCTTCAGCCTGCCCTCCACAGAGCCACTCTTTCAGTGTAAGCCTGTTCCTTCCCTCCCAGCTACAGACCCTCGCTGGGTGCCCTCTGCTCAGACGATCAACCCCAGGGCTCTGCACATGGCCACCAGGCTCCCCCCAGCCTGGCTGACCTCGTCACCCCCACTCGCCACCTGCTCTTGAAGCTTTGGCCCCAAGGGCCTCTTTCTCTTTCTCCATCGCCCAGCTCCTGCCTGCCCCAGAGCTGCCTCCACCTCTGTTCCCTCTGTCTGGAACACTCTTTCTTCCCCCTGGTCGGGAGAGAGCCTCCTCATTCTTCAGCTCAGCTTAAATGTCACTTCATTAGGGAAGGGACCCTCCATCCCCGGGGGTAGGCCCCCATCAGTGACTCTCAGAGCAGCGACGACCACGACAGGTGGAATGATTGTTGAGTGTCTTTCTTGCAGGAGGGCAGAACTGGTATCTTTCTCGCTCTTGACTCTTAAATACCTGGGTGAAGAGATGGGGCGGTCACAGGGGAGATAAACTGGTGATCAGATGTATCTGGATGTAGGCCCGGTACCCCGAGGGGTCAGTCGTCTTTCGGGATACCAGCTGTGAATAGAGTGGCATCCACCAGCCCCCACGTGATTTCAGCCAGCCCCAGGGAGGGCTGGTGCCAGCTTGGGCAGAGGGGCCAGGAGAGGGAGAGGGGGAGACGGCCACTGGTGTCCAGGACAGGGCCAGCCCCAGAGCAGGAAATCAAGCCACTCACAATTCTGCATTCCATTCATTCAGCAGATGTTTATCCCGTGCTAGCTGTTTCTTGCGGTCTTTTTTTTTTTTTTTTAAAGATTTTATTTATTTATTTGAGACAGAGAGAATGAGAGGGAGGAGGGTCAGAGGGAGAAGCAGACTCCCTGCCGAGCAGGGAGCCCGATGCGGGACTCGATCCCGGGACTCCAGGATCATGACCTGAGCCGAAGGCAGTCGCTTAACCAACTGAGCCACCCAGGCGCCCCTGTTTCTTGCGGTCTTAACATGGGTCTGAGACTATGCCAGACACTTTGCATTTGTTCAATCAATAGTCACTGGGCTCCAACTGTGAGCCAAGCACCGTTCCGATTTGTGGGTCTACCACAGTGAACAAAACCCCCGGCCCTGGCGGAGCTTACACGCTGCAAGTGGCAAGCGGACAAACATGAGTAAAAGAGAAAGCCAGGCAGGGATCGCAAGTCCTATGGAGAAAAGCTAAACCAGGCGGTGGAAAAGGAAGCCGGAGCGCATTACAATTTAAAATGCCTGTGAAAGTAGGTACCATTATGATTCCCATCTTATGGAAGAGGAAGCTGAGGTTCAGAGAGGTTGAGTGAGTTGTATAGGGCCACACAGCTTATCCGTGTTGGAGCTGGTGTTCTGGATCGATCTCTATCTATCTATCTATCTATCTATCTATCTATCTATCTATCTATCTATCTATCTCTATCTATCATCTATCTATCTATCTATCTATCTATCTATCTATCTATCTATCTATCTATCATCTATCACCACTCTGCCTCCCCCTACGTAAGAAACCGCGTGACCCAACCTTTTCGGAGCTTGGTTTCCTCAGTGCCCTTTGGGGCTTGAACCGCGATGGGATAATGTCTGAGGCCCAGGGAGGGCAGGCTTGGCAGAGCTTTGGAGACACGGATGGGCAGGTGGCGGGTGCTCCTGCTCGGGTGGGGAGGGGAGAGGAGGCAGGGAGTTGGGTACCGTCCTGCCCTTCCCAGGTGTCCTGCCTCTGCGGCTCTGCCCCCTGCATCCTGTGCGGCTGCTGCCCCTCCAGCCCCAACTCCACCGTCACCCGCCTCAGCTTCACGGCCTTCCTCTTCCTGGGGGTGTTGGTGTCCATCATCATGCTGAGCCCCAGCGTGGAGAGTCAGCTCCACAAGGTGAGGGGTCCCGGGGCAGGCGGGCGAGTGGGGCAGCCCGCGGGACAGTTGCTCCAGGCCGGGGTCCCCTCCGCCCCCCCACGGCTTGAGGTCCCAGCTAATCGAGAAGGCAGGGCAGGAGTGTCCTGGGACACCCACCATCCAGGGCTGGTGATGGGGGCCTTTCTTCATGTGGGGAGGCGAGTTTGAACCTCACAGGGGAATTCCTGTTTCTCATAAGCCATGGGCCCCTTGGAGAATCTTACAGATCATCATTTCCACCCCTGGACACTGGCCCCCGGGGCATGCTTTTCCCTCCTTAGTGCTCGAGCACTAAGGTTTGGGGTCCTCACTCTTCCCTTCATCCCAGCATCTCAGAGCCTGGCCCAGACCCAGTGCCACATTTAGGCCAGTGGCTCTGACATTCGAGTGTGTGTGAAGGTATGAATGCCCTGGGGAGTGTGCTAGAAATGCAGATTCTCAGACCCCACCTCTGACTCTGGTTCTGTCTGAGAGGGGCCCTGGAATCTCACCTTCCCCCAGAGTCCCCGGGGGTTCTGGTGTAAGTTGTGGGTGGGGAGCACTCAGTCCTGCCTCCCTCAGTGCCATGCGGTCCTGAGGCTGCACGGGCTTCAGCAGGGAGACAAGCAGAGAGGAACGATCTGTCACTGGATCGTGTGTCCCCATCTGTCCTGGGGCCACTCACAGGACTTCAGCCCCAGGGCTGGGTGGGGGTGCTGATGGGGGGGGAAGGAGGGAGCCTTGGCAGAGTCGGCCCAGGGTTCTGGGGGTGGAGGGGCCTTCATGCTGCTTTGCCTCCCCACAGCTGCCATGGGTGTGTGAAGAGGGGGCCGGGACCCCCATCATCCTTCAGGGCCACATCGACTGTGGCTCCCTGCTCGGCCACCGTGCTGTCTACCGCATGTGCTTTGCGACGGCAGCCTTTTTCTTCCTCTTCACCCTGTTCATGATCTGCGTGCGCAGCAGCCGGGACCCCAGGGCTGCTGTCCAGAACGGGTGAGGCCCCCCCCCACCACCCCTACAGCCGGGACGCGCACCGTGCTTTCTGCCCCCGGCCGGTCTCCAGCCATCTCCAGGCCCTGTCCCCAGACCGTGAGCCCCTGAAGCACAGAGATCAGCTCATTTAGTTCTTCCCACTTCTCAGATGAAGAAATGAAAGTCAGAAAGGGTGAGAACATGCCTAAGGCCACACAGCACTTTAGTGACACAGTTGGGACAAGAAACTGGGTGACCACCATCACTCTGACTTAGTCCTTCCCTCTGTCCCTCAGGGATTTTTCTAGGGCCGGGACAGACTTTCTGTGCCCATCAGACCATCAGAAAGCCCCTCTTCACTTGCCCAGTACCCAGGACCTGCTCTTTGGGGGTAGGGGTTCTGGGGGCCGGGCCTGGTCCCCTCCCCCCACTCAGCTCGCTGCTCTGTTCTCCCCACTCCCAATAGATTTTGGTTCTTTAAGTTCCTGATCCTCGTGGGCATCACCGTGGGCGCATTCTATATCCCTGATGGCTCCTTCTCCAACGGTAGGTGGCCTTGGTGGGAAGGATGGGGGGCTACCAGGAGGGAGCTGGGGTCTCCAGAGGGAGGAGCACTGGTGGGGGTTGCTCTTTGCCTTGGCACACAGACCCCAGGCTGCTGGCTGGGTCCCCCCCGGGCCAGGAGACAGCACTCTGGTGCTTGGCCACATGGCCTTTGGGCAATATGGCGGTGGGGTGGGGGACAGGTGGGTGGAAGCTGCCTCACCCCTGCCCCATACCCTGCCACGCTGCCTCTCTGTACATGGCTAGGGGTTCCCTGAGGGCAGGGACTCTGCTTCTTCTCTGTGTCACCATTGCAGGGCACGGCACAAACGACTGTTTTGTTTGTTTGTTTGTTTTTTAAGGATTTTATTTATTTATTTGAGAGAGAGAATGAGATAGAGAGCATGAGAGGGGGGAGGGTCAGAGAGAGAGGCAGACTCCCTGCTGAGCAGGGAGCCCGACATGGGACTCGATCCCGGGACTCCAGGATCATGACCTGAGCTGAAGGCAGTCGCTTAACCAACTGAGCCACCCAGGCGCCCACAAACGACTGTTGAATGAGTAAATGTGCATGTGAGGGAGACTGCGGGAGGGTGCCTGCCGCATTAATCCCGGGGAGCCTGGCACTCAGGCTGCTCCCCCACCGCCTTGCCCCCTCCCCCCATCTTCCCTCTCCCCTCTCCCCACGCAGTCTGGTTCTACTTTGGTGTCGTGGGCTCCTTCCTCTTCATCCTCATCCAGCTGGTGCTGCTCATCGACTTCGCTCACTCCTGGAACCAGCGGTGGCTGGGCAAGGCTGAGGAGTGTGACTCCCGGGCCTGGTATGCAGGTGAGCGATGTTGCCAGAGGCCCCGTGCTTGCTCGCAACTGGGGCTTCCTGAGCATAGGGGGTCCCCGAAACTAGAGGAAAGCCTCAGGGCTTCTGGAGCTGCCCCCTGCCCTAGGGCAGCAATTGAACCCTCCTGGGCAGATGGAGGGAAGGGGGTGTGTGTGGGCAGGGGCGGCTGATTCTGGGGTGACTCCAGGGGAGGTCAGAGGGGAGCCGGAACGGAGAGACCTTGGTGGAGTCTAGTTCAGCGATTCCTGCAGGACGGGCCACGCACAGCCAGCCCAGACCAAACCAAATGACACTGGGTCCCTGAAGCCCCTGGGGCAGAGCAGGTTCTTGCTCAGCTCCCTTTCAGTTCTGAGTTGACCGAGGAGAAAGGCTCACTTAGGTGCCCGTTTAGTTTTCACGCCCCTGAAAAGTGGCTGATCTCTCTGACGAGGGAGCAGGGCTTCAGCGGGTCCCTGTGCATCCAGTGGACTTTGTGAAAGACTCTTTTGTATTCACTGCCTTTCTTTCCATGGTTAACTTATTAATGGCAAGTGAGTCCTTTTAGGTCAGGATGGGGCAAAAGCTCTCACAGGAGTTGGCAAGTGACAGACATTCAGGAGACCCTGATGTCATTCCTCCGACAAGGAAGCTGAGGCCCACACAGGGGGCTGCCCGACAAGCCCCCCTCGAGGGGGGGTCCCTATGCCTCCTCACCCAGCCGCTTGCCACCTCTCCTTCACAGGCCTCTTCTTCTTCACCCTCCTCTTCTACACACTGTCCATTGCGGCCGTGACACTGCTGTTCATCTACTACACCCAGCCCGGCACCTGCTATGAAGGCAAGGTCTTCATCAGCCTCAACCTCACTCTCTGCTTCTGTGTCTCCATTGTCGCCGTCCTGCCCAAGGTCCAGGTGAGACTGCTTGTCCCTGCCCGTCCTGACGCCGGGCCCCTTGGTGTGGGGGGACTTCTGGTAGGAGCCTCAGGGTCCTGGGGCAGGGCCGCCAGTCCCAGAGGCTTGGGCTAAGAATGTGGGCTCCTGAGTCAGCCTCCCTGGGTTAGAGTCATAGCTTTCATGGCTACTTGCTGGGTGTCTTTGGGAAAGTGCCTCACCCTCCCTGTGCTTCTCTCTTCTCACATGTAGAAATGAGGGTAATACCTACCCTTTGGAGATATTTGCAGGATTGAGACAGAGTTTGTGAACACAGAGAACAGGGCCTGGCCTATAGATAACCATCAGACATGAACTGTTGTTATCATCGTTGTCTTTATGGAAATTGGGAGACCATTAGGGAGGACCACTGAGTGACGACTCCCAGACCCCTCAATAAGTGGTGTTGGGAGGTGCAGTTGCACAGTTTCCAGTCTCAGACCGTCTGGGGGTAACGGGTGGGGCTCCCCAGATCATCGTGTGCTCTTCAGAGCCCTATGAGCCCAGCAGTGCCTCATGGTTGGGGATCTCAGCCCACCAGGGGTTTCACAGTTAGCTTGGGGAGCCTTAGAGGGTCTTTAGCAGAAAGGTGGGGAACCTCCCTTCTCGTCTGAGCCTCTATTTCCCAGTGAGAAAATTGAAGCCCAGAGAGGGTGATGCCTCTGTCCCAGCTCACACAGTAATCAGTATTCATTCAGCAAATACTTCCAGAGCGCCTACTGTATACCGGGCCTTCTTGGAGATGTTGGGGGTGCAGATGTGAGGAAGAGGGGAAGAGTAACAGCAGCTGCTAGTTGATGACAACTGTCCCGTCATGTAGTCCAGGCACCGCCATCGTCCCCACTTTCCAGACCAGTAAAGGGAGGCTTAGAGGAGGAGAGAGACCGGCCTGAGGTCACACAGCTTGGGGGGGGGCGGGGCTGGGGGCGGGGCTCGGGGGCGCGCTGGGGGCGGAGTTGGCAGACTGGCCCTGGAGCCTGTGCCCCTAATCAGAGTTTGGATTCTTATTTCCAAGCCTGTGTGTGGTGAGGATGGGGAAGAACAGCTGGTAGGAGACGAGGCCAAGGAAGATAATTTGGGATCATACGTGCTACGTGGGAAATAAAAGAGAGGGGGCAAAAGGTGGGTGGGCCAACAGGGAGGGGAGCGGGGGCTGCTGCGGGGGTCAGGGTGTTGGGGCCTCATTGAGAACTTTGAGCTGAGGCCTGAATGCTAACGAGAGGCTGGCTGTGTGGAGATGTTGGGGAGGACCGTGTCAGGGAGAGGGCACAGCGAGTGCAAAGGCCCTGAGGTGGGAGAGAGTTTGGTGGGTTCTGTGGACAGAGAGGAGGCCAGCTTAGCTGAGTGCAGTCGGAGGGGAGGAGCTTGCTGGGGGGGTGGGCGGTTGGAGACGAAGGCAGGGCCAAACCAGGGAGGGCTTTAATTCAGAATGTGAAGGGATCCCACCCTGGGTGCGTTCTCAGCAGGGGAGCAACTGGGATAGTTTGTTAAGAGAAAGAATGAGGACTCCACCTTTGGGAGAGGTGGGTGGTGGGTGGCGGGTGGCTCGGGTGCTGTGTTCTCCCAAAGGGTGTGGTGTGGGATGGCTCTAGGGTGGTGGGGGTTCCTGAGGCCCCCCCAGTGGGGTGTGAGTGGGCTAGGTGCGGGTGGGGTGCCCCCCAGGTCTGACGGGGGTCTTCCTGATGGACTGCTCTTCCAGGACGCCCAGCCCAACTCGGGTCTGCTGCAGGCCTCGGTCATCACGCTCTACACCATGTTTGTCACCTGGCTGGCCCTGTCCAGTGTCCCTGGTGAGTACAGGCCCTGGTTTGGGGAAGCCTGGGCTCATTCCTGTGTCAGCATGGCCTTCTGGCAGGCTGGGGACCCTCACAGGTGACAGGGACATTTCAGCTCAGCTTGTACCCCCTCTTAGTCCTTCAGGGAGCTGGGAGGGCCCTATCTGTTCCTGGAGCTCTTTCTCTGTCATTTGTCTGCTAAGTTCTGTCTGTTGCTGGGATTTGGATGCTCAGTTGTATGTCTGTCTGTCCATTTGGGTTGGCTCTCTGCCCTTCCTCAGGCCTGGCCTGCAAGGGCTGAGGGTGACTGCTCCCATGTCTAGACCAGAAATGCAACCCCCACCTGCTGACCCGCTTCAGCAATGAGACGATCCTGGCAGGCCCTGATGGCTACGAGACCCACTGGTGGGATGCACCGAGCATCGTGGGACTCATCATCTTTATCCTGTGCACCGTCTTCATCGGGTATGGGGGGGGCATCTGGCTTCTGGGGAGGCATCATGACTGGGGGCCTGAAGGTGCGAGTGAGGGGAGGATGTGGGAGCCCAGACACCAAGCGGGAAGGCGCCCTTAGCAAGCGCAGGTCCAGCCCTGTGCTGGTGCAAAACGGAGTCCCTCTGAGGGCACAGCGTGACTGGGCAGCAGGGGCATGGTTGGACGCTGCCTCCTGGCCAGGGGCCCCTTCTTGCACATCGGGCTGGCGCGTGCCCAGCTCAGTAGGGTGCAGGCATCTGTGGGGGCAGGGAAGAAGCCTGGACTGGGGCGGGCAGGCGTGGGCTCTGTCGCTCACCTGCTGTGTGGTCTCGGGGTAAGTGGCTTCACCTTTCTGAGCTTTCGTGATGGTGGAGGATGGTAGCCTCTAATGCCTGGGGTGGTGGGGACCCCACACTGTCACCTAGGAGAGGGCAGCTCAGACTGAAGATCACGTAACAGTTTTTTTTTAAAGGGGCCTCTTAGCAAGTGCTTCTCGGTGTGGACTCTGGAGCCGAACCGCCTGTGTTTGAACATTGCAGCGCCCCTTAGCGGCAGTGCGATCTGGGGCAGGTCGCTACACCTTTCTGTGCCTTGGTTTGCTTAGCTGTCAAACAAGGATGAAAATAGTAGCTACTTCACAGGATCGTGGAGGGGTGTTGGAGGAGTTAGTATGAATAAGCCTCTTAGAAAGGAACTTGGCGAGTAGGCAGCGCCAGACAAGTGTTTGCTTTAATTGCAAGTAACTGTGAACGTTTGCACAGCTGGGTGGCAGGGACTGGCTGTTGTGTAAAGTCACCAGATGGTGATGCTGAGGGTGACCGCCGTGTACAGCAAGTCTGGCGGACTCATGACTGACTCCGCAGGGCCCAGCATCGCTCCCAGTGCCGCTCCTCTTGGCTCCGCAGGGCGGCCCGGAGGAGGCTCTGCCAGGCTCCTCTGCCCTCCCCGACTCGTCCATCCTGGGCAGGGCCTGGTTTCTTCAGAGCCGCACAGCTGTCTCGGAACATTCGGAGGCTGTTTCACATTTTGTTTTGACCTTTTTCAAAGCCTGGGCAGGTCACTCTTTGTTGCCTCACTTGATCCCTTTTTCAACCTGGAAAGGCCCAGATCACCTCCATGGTGCAGATAAGGAGACGGGAGGTTTGGGAGGGGTAGCCACCTGTCTGAGGCCATGCACACAGCACCCAGGCTCAGAGCGGCACCTCGTCCTGCTCCCCAGACGCTCACCCCCCCGGCCTGTGGTCACGGGGCAGAGCCTCTGAGAGCCCGGGGCCTGTCTGTTCTTAGTCCAGTGCTTTTCTTTCTTTCTTTTTTTTTTTTAAGTTTTACTTATTTGAGAGAGAGAGAGAGAGAGCGGAGGAGGGGCAGAGGGAGAGGGAGAGAGAGAATCTCAGGCAGGCGCCCTGCTGAGCACAGAGCCAGACACAGGGCTCGATCCCACAACCCTGAGATCATGCCCCGAGTCGAAACCAAGAGTCGGACACCTAACCGACTGAGCCACCCAGGCACCCTCTTAGCACAGTTCTTAAAACCCAGGAAGCAAAGAAGCACAAGCAGCCACAAGGGCAGGGACCCCTGAGGATGGGCGTCGTGCCTAGCTGTGGGTCACCAGGACCCGGGATCCCAAACATTAGATATCAGCATGATGTTTGATGATGATTGGGGTCAGCAGAAGCTCAGCGAGTGACTTCTCAGCTTGATGGGGTGGGGCTGGGGTCCAGATCTCCTTCTGTGTCACTTTTTTCCCAAATGCGACTTGGATTTTCAAAATTGCCTATGTGTCTCACACTATTAAATACTGTTAAAAACATCAAGACCTCATTACAGAAATGACCAAAAAATCATTGCTGTTAGTATTTTTTTTATAATAAACATGAAGAAAGGGGACGTCATTGGTAAAACTACTCACCTAACAGAAGGAAAACAAACTTAATGGCAAATGAGTATTCTTAATTATTAATATTATCAATGAATGCCATCCCTGGTATGGTCCTTTGAAGTACTAGGTACGCAGTCCATATTTACGGGATTGGCAGATGGACAACCTGAATAACAGCGCCTGTTTCTCTAGTTTATACTCTGTGCCAGGCACAGTGCTGGGGGCTTCACAGTATTAGTCCTCCTGGCAACTCCGCAAGGGAGGTACTATAACCCCCAATTTTACAGAGGCTCAGAGAGGTTCAGTGTCTTGCCTAAGGCCACATAGGAGGTGGGGGTGGAGTTCGGAGTCAAAGCGGTAAGTGGGTGGGCCCAGAGCCTAACCACCAGGTCACCAGGCCCCGAGGTTCTGGAACCATGGTGCCCATCGTTATGACCAAAGCCGTGGCTCGTGAGGCCCCCTGGAGCTTCCTGCCCGCCTCCCCCTCCCTCCCCTGCAGTCTGCGCTCCTCGGACCACCGGCAGGTGAACAGCCTGATGCAAACGGAGGAGTGTCCGTCCACACTGGAAGTCACGCAGCAGCGGCAGGTGGTGGAATGCCAGGGCCGGGCCTTTGACAACGAGCAGGACGCTGTCACCTACAGCTACTCTTTCTTCCACTTCTGCCTGGTGCTTGCGTCCCTGCACATAATGATGACGCTTACCAGCTGGTACAGGTGCGTGCAGCCTGGCCGGGCATGGACCGGATCCGCTGTGCTGGGGTGTGGAGGCCGCCCATCTCCTCGCCCCTCCACCCCGGGTTTCTCCTGATGCCTGTTTCAGGCTTGGCCGTAGAGGAGTCTGTCCAGGACCCCCCGCAGAGCCTGCGCAGCCATGCGCCAGCTTCCGGGCCAGTGCCTTAGTCTGCCCAGTAGCCTGAGAAGTGGGGGTCACAGGAGGTGACGCTGGGCCTGTGCAGGGCAGATGCACCTTACAGATCAGGAGTGGTGATTTGGGTTACAAGGTCAGAGTTGGGAATTCATGGCTGGAGGGTTAGGATTTAGGGTATGGGGTTAGAATCAGTCACAGGGTCAAGAATAGGAGTCATGAGGTCAACGGGACTGGGGCCATATAAAGTCACAGATTTGGTTCTTTTGGTTAAAATTGGGGTTAGCAGGCCATAAAGCCAGGATTGAAGTTGCCAGGTCAAGGAACTAAGAACAGAGTAACAAGGTCAGGTGTCAGGACTGGTGTTAGAGGGTCAAGGGTCAGAATTAAGGTCAAAGATATCAGCTCAGTCCTAAGGTCAGGGGTCAGGGGTCAGGGATGGAGTTACAAGACTGAGGGTCAGAGTCAAGGTTGGAGGTCAAGACTAAGGTCGGGAGCTCCAGGGTCCCAAAGGCAGGGACCAGGAGTCAGGTTATAATATTAGTCTAGGACTGGGGTCAGTGTTGAAATTGAGGTCAGGGTCAGATCTGTGGTATTAGTCAAAAGCTACATCTAGGGTCAAAGACAGAGCCAAGGCCAAGTGTCAAAAATATCAGAGATGGGCGGCTAGAGTTACAGAGTGAGAGCCAGAGTCGAAGTCAGGGGTCACAACTGGGTGGTAAGGGCAGGACCAGAACTGAGGTCACTGGGATGACGTTGTGTTCCAGACCCGGCGAGACCCGGAAGATGATCAGCACCTGGACCGCCGTGTGGGTGAAGATCTGCGCCAGCTGGGCGGGGCTGCTCCTTTACCTGTGGACCCTGGTGGCCCCACTCCTCCTGCCAAACCGCGACTTCAGCTGAGGCAGCCCCCTGCAGCCTGCCCACCTGGTGCCTCGGGGCTCAGTGAGTCAGCCCACTGAGCCCCTACCCCTACCCACCTCCAGGACTTGCCCCTGAGCTGGGCCCCCTGTTCTTAGTGCCTTCAGGGAGGGGGAGCCTCAGGCCCAAGCCTGAGCCCTACCTTCCCGCTCCCTCCAGACCACAGAGCTGCCTCTTCCTTACCCTTGGTCCCCATCCCCTGCACTCACCCTCTTGGGAAAGAAGGGCCCCTTATTCTTAGGCTCCCTGGGAGAGGGACCTGAAAGAGAGAAGCACTCAGAGCCACTCAAGAGAGTGGGAGCACTCCCCAGGATGGGGTGCCCAGCACTGAGGCCTGGGTCGTGCCGACCACGTCCCCCAGGGCATGCCACCTCCTTTCTGGACTCTGTGCCTTACTGAGTCTCCGTGACTTTGCGCAATAAAGCGGCCAGTGTATGTACCTGCCCATGTTCTGTGCCCCCCACCCTGGGTGCGGCCCCCATGCTGTCTGGGGCCAGTGTGGGGGCGGAAACAAGGTCAGGGCGGAGGAGGCCAGATGAGGGACCTGGGCTCTGTTCTGTAGGGCATGGAGAGCCTTGGAGCAGAGGCAGGGGAGGCTCTAGGGGAAGGAGGGGCTTTGGATAAAGGCAGTCTGGGGGCCAGGAAGGGCACTGAAGCAGTGTCCACACAAGGGACGGTGAGGCCAGAGTCAGGGTGGAGAGGAGAGTTTGTGCGGGGTGGCTGAGGGGGCCATCTCCTTCCCGCCGTAGCCATAGTCCTTGTCACATGCAGAGAAGAATCTGACCCATCCCCAGACTCAGGGCATGGTGGGGAAGAGCACGCGCTTGAGTCAGCCGAGCGGGCCTGGATCTGGTGAATCTTGGAAGTCGTGGGGCTTGTGTGGGGCTCCAGGCAAGTCCTTCCCCTCTGGCCCTGGCTGCTCATCCATCAGCCGGGGGACGCCCCCCCCCCCCCCACTCCCAAGCTGTTGTGAGGCATGGATGAAGCAGCTGATGTGAAGTGCGCGGCAGGTGCTCGATACACACCATCGGTTCCCATCTCCGAAGGTGCACGCTGATGCGGCGGCGACAATGGGCTCTTGGCTGTGGTCCTGACAGGATGGCTGCCCACAGGCCATGTACCACCTCCATCGTGGGTGTGACAATAGATAGGACGTGACTGGGTTTGCTGGGTGCTGGGGCTGCAGTGGCCAGGGATATGGGCTGCTTCCAGGGCGCTCGTGGGTCACGAGGGTTGTGCGGGTGCCCAGGCTGCACTGAGGGGTTGCCTGCCATGGGACGGGCATCAGGACGGACATCCTGCAGGATGAGTGGGAGCCATCCAGCTCCAGAGGAATGAAAATGCTCAAGGCAGAGGGGACAGCATGCGAACAAGAGAGAGAGTGGGGCGTTCCCGGACAGCGAGGAGTGCGGGGTGGCTGGGGTGCAGAGTGTGCGGGTCAGGAGTTGCTGCGATCTGGGAGAGCTGGGCTGGACCCAAATCACACAGGCCCTTGACGGCCATTGCGAAGAGACCAGATGTTATCCTCAGTGTAGAGGGGAGCCATGGAGGGTTTTGGAGCCAGGTGGAAGCAGTGAAGGTGTGAGATAATCATGGGGAACTTCTGGAAGGCTTCAAGCAGAACAGTGACAGGGTCAGGGTGTTCTTTTACAAGTGTTTCCCTGGATGAAATGGAGGGTTGGTAGCTGGGACAGGTGCCGGGCCTGGGAATGAAGGGAGGGGGCGGGGTGTGGACCGGGGCAGGGGCAGAAGACAGCGTCTCCCAAACCTGGGACAGATCCTGGGGAAGCTCTTGGCCCTGGGTGCCTTTCAGCCCAAGAAAACCCCCTTCATGGAGCAGCCCGAACTCCCCCAGCCACCGCCCCCCAAGATTTCATTTCTTTCCTCCTTTCACCTTTGGGAGAAAAAGCCCACTCCATGCTCCTGATAACCTTTTTTTTAATGAATTGGTAGAAGTGGACCATTTTGTCCTGCTTTTGTATCACCTTGTTCTACAGTTTTCAGATTATTCATTCAACAAACACGCACTGAGCATGAGTTCTGGGCCAGGGTCTGGGTAGAGGAGGCAGAGGCCAGGCCGAAGAGTCTGAATGCCTGGTGAAGGAGTTTCAGGTCCCAACTTGGAGGTCACCACCTCTGAGAAGCCACCAGGGTTTCTCCCAGACAGGGTGAAGGGCCTCCCCGATGTTATTTCCCCAGTCCCCGTTCTGCCCTCCAGTAAGGCGGTGGTCTCACTCCCCTGGTGGGCCGTGTGGTGGAGGTGGGGGCAGATGTCAGGGCTGACTGCTGCCCACCCAGGGGTCTGGCTGCTGGATGCCCCTCAGCTCCTGCTGCCCAGCACCATGGCTTCCACACGTCCTCCCTCCCTTCCTCCTTCCCTCCCTTTCTCTCCTGCCCTCCATCCTCCACCTGCCACCCCCCCACCTCCTTTCTGAGCTCCCATCTCTTTTCCTTCATACCCTCTCCTCTGTTGCCTCTCTCCCCTCTCGCTCTCTTTTGTCGCCTCCTGTCCCTCGTGGGTCTGTGGGACAGGCCCATAGGACGCCGCCCTTTTTGTGGGCCAGCCCCTGACAGGCGGGACTGTGCCTGGGAAGGGCGCAACTCTGGACCCGGCAGTAGAAGGGCTCTGTGGGCAGAGCGAGTGTGAAGCCCACAGATGGGTGTGGGGACTGGAAAGCTCTCTGGCTCAGCTCCGGTTCTGTCTGCCCCCCGCCACGTGACCTTAGGCAACTCGGGCCTGTCTCTGAGCCTCCACGGCAGCTTCCGTAAAATGGCAACAGGGGCGGTTTTGCAAACCATAAAGCCTGGTGCTTGGCTGGGCTGGACAGTGTGGTTAACCAGCAGACGTTCCCAATCCCCTTCTCCCTTTGCCGCCACCATCATGAAGGTGGGAAAAGTCAGTGGGTCCCTTTGCAGCTTCCCTGAGAGCAGTGGTTACCTCACAACATGCCGGCTAATGACATCCAAGCGGGGAAGGCTAAGGAGCAATTCCTGGAAAGTTGCTGCTTTTCTTCTACAAGGGGCTGCTCATTCTCCCCTTTTCCTATCTTAACACGAATGAGATGCCTGGGGCTACAGCAGCTATCTTGGGACAGTGAGGCAACAAGCCTGGGATGAGAAACCAACAAGGTGAGGACCTAGTACAGAGAATTGAAAGGGCTCTGGGTCCTTGATGCGCCCTGCTGTGCCTGTCCCCGCGCTTCTGTTACATGAGGAAAACAAATGCCAATGTGTTTCAGCCCCTGGTAGTTGGGTATTAAGTTCCTTGCAGCTGACTGATTTCTCATATGGCATGCGAGACGATCATTAATTTCAGTGATAATAAAAATAAAAACAAGAGAAATTCATCTCTGTGACTCAGGACGATTGGGTGGCAAGAGTATAGCACACATACTAAGTATGTATATTTATAAATAAATGTATACTATACGTATTTATATAACATACATATATCATACATACTACATGTAGCAGGAGAAACTGTGACAAGATAGTTTTTTGAGATCGTAATTTTTCTCTCCTCTAGGAAACACACAGGATAAGAAAGTTCTAGATCTCCCTACCTTGGGGGAGGTTTGAGGAAGTGTGGGAAACAGGAGAGGGAGGTTACTTGCAAAATTACACTTCCCCTGCTAGCTTTGGTAACCAAAAGCCTAGTCTGTTGAGAAGCTTCTGGGCAGTGGGGGTGGGGCAGTGATGGGGCAGCTGAGGTGCCTCCTGGAGGGAGGGGAGAGAGGAAGAGCCCCTGCAGGAATGTGATGAGAGATGGGGCCATTTCTCCGAGACCCTAAAGAAGTTCTCTGTGATGGAAGAGGAGGCAGAAGGTTGTGGATTCCCTGAGCAAGGGTGGGCACCCCAGTTCCTGCTGAGCTTGGGGAGCTGGGCAGAGCCTGGAGTTGCTGCTCACGCCTGGGGAGGCGGGTGTTTGGGGGGGTGGAAGTCCACTCTCCACCTGGCAACAGGTCTCTCTCACTCTGCCCACTGTCTCATGGCTGTAAGTGGCCCCAGGACTTTTGCACTATCTGGGAGCGGACCCTGAGTGTGCCGGGGAGGACGGTGAAGAAGGGCTGAGGTTGAATTTCCCACCAGCCTGGCGGGATGGGGCTTTGGAAAGAAAGAAAGATGATATAAAACAAATGAACAGGGGCGCCTGGGTGGCTCAGTCATTGAGGGTCTGCCCTTGGCTCAGGTCATGATCCCGGGGTCCTGGGATCGAGCCCCGCATCGGGCTTCCTGCTCAGCGGGAAGCCTGCTTCTCCCTCTCCCACTCCCCCCGCTTGTGTTCCCTCTCTAGCTGTGTTTCTCTCTGTCAAATAAGTAAATAAAATCTTTAAAAAAAATGAACAGAAGCTGTTTCTTGCACACTGTGAACTGAGCTTTGTACCCACTTCAAGATCATTTTAGCTATAAGGTATGTTCGTGGCAAACAGTACAAGAGTGTGAAAAGCATTCATCTGCTTCACTTTTTCAAGCAGCAGCGGAGGATCCTACTGAATGAATATGCTATCAGTTACTCCTCAGTCGGGCATTTACGTTGTTTTTTAGTGGTTTTCTCTTTTCTGTTCCGTTTTATTTCGTCTTTGCTGCCGTCGGCCACTGTGTTTATTCCGGCAGCTTTGCTGGCTTGCAGGAAGCGTGCAGACTCCAGAGCCAAGACCCTTTAGGTTCTTACCTTGGCTTTGCCCCTAGCTGCTGTGGCCTCTCTGGGTCTCAGTTTCCCCATCTGCAGAGCGGGGCTTATAGTAGCCCCCACCCCGTGGGATGTTGCCATGGTCAGGGAAGGCATGTCTCTAAAGGGCCTGGCACCATTCTGGGCCCAGAGTGGGAGCCATGGGGACCATGGCTCCTTCCTTTCCCTGGCTGTCAGTCCTCAGGAGCTGAGACAAGAGGCTAGGCCAACAGATGAGGTCGCCTTAGCCTTCCCTCTGTCTCCAGGGACACCAGCCCTATGCCCTGCTCGAGGTGGGTGTGAAGATGGTGGCAGGAGGTAGAGAGGAAAACCGTAACAGGAGCCAAAGTGTGTTGAGTGGTTGGTTCCTGTGTATCCAGCCTGGAGAAAGGAGCTTTGATCCCTAAGCAAGCCTGTTAGTGCACAGAGCAAGAAATCTGTTAGGGAGGAGGAAGATGGGGGCCCTGACATCCCAGTCTCCTCTACCCCCTAGTCTAAATCAGCCTCCCCATTTCCCTTAGTGCATTCTGTTTCTCTGCATAGCTTTCGTTACTGGGTGTGATTCTGTGTCCTTTTGTGTGATTTTCACTGTATTGTCTAGCCCTTCCTAAGGTCAACGAGGCGAAAACCTCACCCTCATTGTTTATAGTATCCCCGGTGCCTAGAACAGAGCCCAATAAACAGAGAGTGCTCAATAAGAGCCACGTTAGTTGACTGACTGACCATCACAATGAATATTAGTTGATTCTGGAACAGCCATGGGGAAGCCC